CTAATAAATCAGGGGTGTCAAACTCATGGCCCGCAGGCCGGATGTTGCGATAGATCATGTGACGATAACGTATCGTGGTTTGATACCCCTGTAGTAAGCTATACCTTTCTCAATAAATAGAGTTAATGATCATTCTTACTTAGAGGTTCAAGCTGAGGCAGGTCTGACAGATGGGCCTAATCCATAACAGAGATCAATACTTTGAAGCAGAAATACTGCAATACATTATTGTAATTTTAGTATGTTCTAAAATATTTCCCCCATACACACATATTGTTGGCACACTGTTGTCTCTATAGAAAGGCCTAAGGAGGAATACCTGATCAGGGGTTCAGGGTTTAGGCTACTATGCTTCTATAGCCAGAAATGTCCAGTTTCCTTTCTTAGTTTACAGGATCAACAATCATTTCTGCCTGAATGGATATTTATGACTCGATCAACCCACTGAATTACTTCAGTAATATATCATTATGCTCAGAAGGTTTTTAACCGGTCACTCCATTCCTTCAATCCTTTCATTAGTAGTAGCCTCTTAATAGCGGAAGCTAGAATGCAGAGAGCCTATCTGTGGCTCTAATGTTTCACATGGCTTCATTTCAAAAGCCCTCTGTCAGAGATTCCTTCTAACTCATAGGAACAGAAATACACTATTTCTTTGGAGGGGAGAGAAAGAAATATTTCTTTGGAGGGAAGAGAAAGAAAAGCACTTTAGCCTTCACTGACCTGCAGTGTCATGCACTAACACATTTCCTAGGGCAGGGGTCTCCAACCTTGGGAACTTTAAGTCTGGTGGACTTCAATGCTGGCTAGGGAATTCGGAGAGTTGAAGTCCGCCAGGCTTAAAGTTGCCAAGGTTGGAGACCCCTGACTTAGGGGGTGTGACTTGGGCAGAAAGCAAAGTTCCCCATCCTGATATCAAATCTGAACACAAGAACTTACTGCTGAGTTTCCACATTCACAGCCGGATTTGTCTGGACATCTGGTATGTGACAACTGGAGTGTCCCTTGTCCATGGAACTGAAGTTTTGCAGAAGAGCTCTGCATGTATTCTGCCAGGGTACTGTCTCTGGTGAAGTTCTAATTCCAATTCATGGGAGGAAGGACAACACAAAATCAGCAAATCAATTCCTTTATAGCAAATCACCATCAAAGTAGTTTAATTAAACCTAGGCCCTCACCCTCCCCTCAAAATATTTACTGCATCGCAAACCAAGGACAAATGTTTTGGGGAGTAGAAGTGAATGCAGCAGGGATGGGATTCTATAGGTTTGCACCTATTCGCTAGAACCGGTTGTTGACATTCTAAGCAGTTTGGAGAACCAGTTGTTAGAAGAAATTACTGGCCTAATCCTGTAAGGAAGGCAGGAAGGAAACATTCTGGCATTGCTTACAGAAACTGCCTCTCCGTTAACCCTCATTACATTCTTGGCAGGACTAGACTTCCTGTCTCAGAAACTTCTCTGGAGTTTTTTTCCCCTCCTTTGCTGGTACTTTGCTTGTGTGGAGTGACCATTCAAAGTTACAATGGCACTGAAAAAAGTGACTTATGACCATTTTTCACACTTATGACTGTTGCAGCATCTCCACAGTCATGAGAGGCCAGGCAAGGAGATATGTGCCTCAATGTGAGTGATGTTGAATTGGCCACGCCCAGCCAGTCACATGACCACCAAGCCACGCCCACCAACCAAGCCACGTCCATAGAACCGGTTGTTAAAAAAATTGAATCCCACCCCTGGAAATGCAGTGAGTAGGACAACCAATCATATATATGTCACACATGCGAGAGCTGTGATTTGGTTTCCCTAAATTGTGTTTGCATTATACTAAAACTTGTGTACTACTGATGTCAATATTGTAGGAATTCAGTTTGCTTGTTTTCACTGATCTCACCATCCGTGTTTGGTATGGATTCCACAAATCTCTCTCTCTCTCTGTCTCTCACTCTCTCTCTCTCTCACACACACACTAACTTAGGAAATACACAGGGTTGTGTTACTCTAGACAGACTATTGACTGCTATTAAAGCAGCTTGGTGCCTTCTGGATGTATAGGAAATCAATTCCAAAATAGCCACCCAGCAGAACCATAGAATGATGGAAGATATAAAGTTGGGGATTATATTAATGCTTCAGACTGGAAGTAACTTTCCATGTTTCCTATCACCACTGAAGAGCTTAAGGTGGTGTGGATGGAAAGAGCAGCTTTTGAATCAAAAGTAGAAATCACATGTGAGCAGTGCATTTGCTAGCTCATCATCCATTCTTACACTTAGGAAGTAGTGAGCAGCATATCCTGGCAATGGGCCAAGCATAAAGTGCAGATCTGCCCTGCGTCAATACATCTTTTACTGTTACTTTTTAAATGAGTCTCTTTAGATTCTGTAAACATTTTAGCCATTTTATAACAGATGTGGTGATCTTTCTTCCTAAGCCTGCTCACTTGGCCAATGTCTTTATATTTATATTTTGAAATATAAATTACGAATGCCTTGCAGGGCAATGTGCTGTGCGGTGGCCTGATCCAAATCCTTTAGATACGGTAGCCCTTCTTCTTCTTCTTTTACTGCACACATTCATACACATGGTGTTTTTCTCATCTGGAATGAATGTTCTTGTTCTAAGGGAATGTTTATGTGTTGAATTGACTGAGTTAATAAAGTGGGGCTAAATATTTGAAAGTAATTCAGTTTATTTTCCATGGCAATTCAATATAAATTTGGAAAAAGTTGATATTACTAGTTGTCAGCTTTTCTGGGGGGAAAAAAGGAGACCCAATGTAAAGTGATAAAATCTCAACTTCTATTTTACCTGCCCCATGATTGAAATGCTCTTAAGCTGTATCATTTGCTCAGAGGTGATGTTCACTCGGAAGGAGGTTTCAGGCTGAAAAATAACATCGTCATACTGGCAGGGAACTCGTTCTTCATCAACAAGGAAAATGTATTTGCCCAGATCTAAGTTTTCCAAAGAGGTTGCAGCATGCCATAATGTAGGATCATGCCATTCATAATTGTCTGTACTTTTAAATGTGATTTCTGAAGCTAATAAGGAAAATGACAGAAAGTAAGAGCCATAGATGAAGTCCATTTACCTTCACTGTTTTTTTAAAATTTCACATAAATCTGCGGAACAAACTCTGAGTTTATTTTTTAAAGTCTAAGAACATGTAGAATATGTGGTCCAGTCTACATGGAAATTTGATTCATAAGATTTTTCTTCATCAATGAAGAAGAATTGAAAGTAATCTAGGAATCAATCTAATGATATTGACATTATGTACTGTATCTCAGTATATATTAGATTTCAAATGCAAAGTTTATTGTTAACCTGAACTTTGTCAGAGTATATGCATGAAGTGGAATAGAGCATGGTAACAAGGTCATCCCATGAATAGGCATAGCAACTAAGTCAGCCAATAAGGACTGTTTTGGAAACTGAAACTAGAAGTAGGCTAGGCTGGAAACTGAAACTAGAAGTAGCCAAGGCATGGCTCTGTATTAAGCTCTGCAGCTCTGAAGCTATGTTGAGCTCTGAGTCTGTCTGTTGAAAGTGAAACTGCTTCTCTCCTCTGCTGTGTATAATGCTTGCCTGCTGAACTAAAGTGAAACTGATGTCTGTTTCTGAGCTCCTGAGTTGCTGCTGAAGCTCTGAACTTGCAACATGTTTCTGTTTGAGTTAGCTCCATGTTGAAGAAATCTACAACTGGTATTGTAAAAAAATTACTTATGTTTATAAAGAAGTTAAATGAAGCCTCAGCCATCTGTGTTTACTTTTCTGGCACTGAATTTGCACTGCAAAACTCTGAATAAACTTCTAATAATATGGTTCTGTCCTGTGAAATTTGATACTTTTCAGATATGTCGATTATACAATTTTTAAAATTTCAGCCAAGCGTTGGCCATGGCAGGTTGGAATTCTGGGAGTTGAGAGAGCAGTAGATCTGGATATCATCTAGATGAGGTGACCTCTTATAAATTATAACTATAACATATAGCACATTTTATCTAATGCATTCCAAAATTTCCACTGACTTTTTCCCTCCCATCGAAATCTATTGTAACATCTATTGTTATTTAGCTTAATAATAAACTGAGGAAAAATCTTGACATCCAATGTATCCAATCTCTCTGAATTTACCCTATTTTTTCATGAAGAGGCATCCTATAGATGTGCAACTGGATGTATTAGAGGTTGTGTTTTAGCTATAGTGAAAACCTTATTTTTCAGAATGAATGTATTTGTAATTGTTCAGTTACTGCATAACAGGAATCATTGCCTAGGCTATCTGAGAAGCAGCAGCAGTCTGGCAGTCTCCCTCAAGCATGGCCATTACTTCTTCCTTTCTGCCATCAGTTGCAACTGCTAAATTAATAAGAAGTAAAATAAGCAGGAGAACCACCCAAACTCCCTTTGACTTTCCTGGAGCAATTTATGATGTGTAAGGCAAGAGAAATGAGGATTCTGAGAAAGTTGTCTTTACCAAAAATTGAACCTCTCCATGTTATGCAGAACTAATATTTTTCTTGTGATATGTGGGTTCTGCCATACAGATGGAGAGAGGCAGTGGTGTCTATAGGTGTGTGTGTGTGTGTGTGTGTGTGTGTGTGCACAACAAAATCAACAAGATGTTGGGCATGTCATCATTCTAAAGGGAAGGGTTTGCTACATCTGATACATCTATTATCTTCCAATTTTGGCTGCCGCCCTGGCAGATACCACTGTTAAAGGATAATATTTTTAATTTCTTTTATTTTTACAAATCTGGTTGGAGAGTTTGACAACCTAAAACAGTCAACATGCTTATTTATTTATCATTATTATTTTGTTATCATACAAATATGATCACTATCATATTTATATCTGATAGGGATCATATTTATATATGATAGATATCTAATATATATCATGTTTATATCTAACATGATATCAAATATATCTAAAACCTCCCCCCCAATATAATCACTTGTTTATATATAAAACAAATTGAAAAAGTAAATACAACGGAAGATAGAAGTGGAAGAATGGGTTGCGATAAGGATACCATCCTTGCCCAACCTGCCTTCAAACACTTTATGAAAAGCATATTTCCCAGCATTTTGGCTTTCTTGGCCATTGCCCAAACTTTCTGGATGGAAAATATCTAACCTGAATACCAGATTGGTAAAAATTGAGCTATAGCTTTGAACAGGATGCAGTTATTGGATTACTGCATATATTTTTTTTTGAGCAAGCAACCCCTGCTGGTGACAAAAAATTAGAGTCACCATACTGTATTATAGCAATATTTGGTTTAATAGAATACTACCTAGAACTTAAATGGTGCTGCCGGAGAGAATTTCCCATAAATATGATATGAGAATAGGCCTGTAGGGAAGCTAGGATGACAGTAACCATGACAATTTTATTAGTAATGTATTAACCATTTTTTCCACAGCCATCACTTTTTTTTTACAAACTTGCCAACGTATCATAATTCCTCTGCTAGGGAATTATAGTGCATGAGGGATATTATACACAGTGCATTACTGAAATTCATATTTAATTCATTAACAACTTTCTATTTAATATTTATGAAGCTATCATGCATCTATGCATAAACCAGTATACTCACAAGAACCCAACGTCCTTGTTATGGCACTTAATATTGCCAAACTGCACGGGACATAGGATTTTCTTTTACAGATAAAGCTTCTACATCATCTTCCTTCAGAGGAATATCAATCACAGTTTATAGATTGCGGGCAATTGGCTTCCCCATTGACTCAACACAAGGGAATATTTCTCTGTGGTATCTTTTTCTATGCTCCACATCTCACCACAAATTCCTAATTGATTAGAATTAGTTGAATTCCATATTCAATCACCATGCCTTCCTACTCAAAAGTAAAATACACTTTTCTAAGTTTGCTTGTGCAAAACATGATGTAAGCACCCTTGCAACTAATTTGTAACTTTGTTGTATGAGATGTTCCTTCCTCAGTGTTTCTCAGCCTTGTCAATTTTAAGTTTTGAGACCTACCTAAAATTACTGAAGAAACAGCCAGAACTATGTTGCATGTAACGGGATTATGGTATGCTTAAATCCACTGCAATCAATTTGGTTAGATGTACACAACCTAATGTGCAAGCTCTGGATGCAAGAACCCGCAAAGGCTATTAACTTTATTATTCAACAGTCCAAAAAGATTCCAAGACTTGGCACCAAATCAAAAACCAATATTTTTTTTTAAAGAAAAGCCTTGGAGCTTAAAAATTCAGATTTCAATATCACCAGCAGAAATAAAGAAATTCAACAAGCTGGTGTATGCCTATGTGAGTTGTCCTACAGCAAATACAGTGGTAGCAAGAACAAACCTCTTATCCATAAGACCTCCACCAGAAAAGGTCTCAAAACATATACATGGCCAATGTTGATAATTTCCTTCATCTTCCTCCCACTATGGAAAAGGAAGCACTGATGATAATTCCAAAAACTTTGGAGGGCTCCAGGGGAAAGTTTATTATAACTGGAAAAGTGACTCGAATGAACAGAGAGACAACTGAGGAATAATCTCATAGTGCTTATTTTGCATGACTAATTAATGGTTGGCTGAGCACAATACCTGTCTCACATCCTGGATTGTAATTGCCGTCGAAAGCTGCAAACCCAGCAGCGGGGGCCATAATGAATTCTCCATTCAACGGAAGGTACTAAGCAGCAAAACAGAATAAATAAAAGGCATAAATTTTGCAATTTCTCTCTGGGCTGAACTGCTGAAGACCAGCTATGCCCAGAATGTGCCATTAACTACAATCTTCCCCAGTTTGTATTGTTTAGAAGCACTATCCAAACATCATCAGTAATGACAATATTGATTCATTTATTATTTATACAATATTTCCATTTGAAATTAAAGGCAGCCAGTCTTAATTATTCCGACAACCACTATTTTGATATAAGGGAAGGTGACTTTTTTCTCTTAGGGCTGCACAATGCAGTGTAACCTGTGGAATGTGGATAAGTGAAATACAATATAACATTCAGAGAATTCTTAACCTGAAAGTTGCAGAGCTCCCCTTGAAACTTTCTATCATTGACTATAATTCATTTTAACAAGAAAAGAAATGCTGTAAAATCCAAAGGTCTACTCAGATACAGAATGCCATTCTTCAGGGTCAGAGAGAAGCAAATTAACTATAATTACAAAGACCCTTTTTATTTCAAATGGAAATATGATCTTTTTAAAAAACAGTACATTTATCTACAAGCCAAACCCAAGTCTCAAAATTGTGGGGGGAAAAACAGGCCTGCTTTTTTGTGTGTATTTGGTGATCTACATAAAGGCAACCCAGAGGTTACAGATGGCCCTCAAATATTTAAGATGCTACACCCTACTTCCAAATCCACTGGAAAGATCTGCTAGCTTCTGAAGCAGTGAGACAGCACCTGCAACTGCCCTCTTCCCTAGCACAACTACGGTAGCCATGCTAACTTACCATTAACAGGAATAGAAATATTCAGGGGGATGTGAGTATCAGTGGCTCCCAGTCACAATATTAGTGCAGTGAGCTCTAAGGTTGGAGGTATTTGGCCTTTATTTTGTTCTTTCTAATGGTAGGGCAGGAGGCACAATGGCTCAGCAGTTAAAGACGCTGACTTTGTTAGGTAGAAAGCTGATGCCCCGGGCTTGAGACCCAAGTGCCATGTAATAGGATGAGCTCTCATTCCTGCCCCAGCTCCTGCCCACTTAGCAGTTTGAAAGCATGCAAATGTGAGTAGATAAATAAGTAGCACTTTGGTGGGAAGGTGCATCTTTGGCATATAGCCATACTGGCACATGACCACAGAAAAAGTCTTCGTACAATGTTGACTTTCTTGGCCAAGAAAGAGAAATGAACACCATGCCCTAGAGTTGGACACAACTGGACAGAGAAACCTTTACTTTTAACAGTAGGGATGGCCCCACTATCACTTGGCTTACAATGTTCTAAAACAATGATGGCTAACCTTTTGGGGCTCCTGTGCCAAAAATTGTGTGCGCGCTTGCATGCTCACGTTTGTGTGCCAGCACCCAGAAGGAAATGCACACCCCCATGCACCCTACACATCCTCACACAATCCCCACCCACTCCCGCCGCTGCCCCTTATTTGCACTGCACCTGACAGTTGATTTTTGGCCTCCCAAAGGCTTCTGGAAGGCTTCTGCATGCTTCTGCAGACTTTTCAGGATGAAAACTAGGCCCATTTCATCACTTACGGTGTTTCTGGAAAAACAGGAAGTGATGAAATGGGCCTAGTTTTTGGCCTGAAAAGCCTGCAGAAGCCTTCCTGAAGCCTCTGGAGGCTGAAAATCAACTGTGAGGCGTGTGCATGTGCAGTGACGTAAGTTTGCCTGTAGCTTGGGTGCCAGCACAAATGGCTCTGTGTGCCATCTGTGGCACACATGCCATAGGTTTGCCATCAGGGTTCTAAAAGGTTGTGTGACTGATTTAGCAAGCCAAACACCAAGAGCTGATTTTTTTTCTGCATTTTTCTCCTTCTGTCCTTTTACCCAATCTTCTCTTCTTTACCATGCCAACAGATGGAATGCAACCAATTCTCAATCTCAATTGTAAATGAAGGAAATGTAGGACAAGCCACGGAAGGATGACAGCAAGCCTGGAGAATTAAAGATCAGTTGGATCTGGGCTCCTAATAATCCAAGGGCTGTGACATAATTATGTCTACAGAATTTTTTTTCATAATCTGCCCTTCCTTTCCTAAGCATTTCAAAATTTATTCGTATTCGAAATGCTGGTTTTTTTTTAGTGCCTATAGAAAGTTAGATTCCCAGGGAGAAGGTCATTTACTACATAGCCATTTATCTACTTCATAAATAATAAAAAATACATAATGCATCATATGCAACTCCAAGAAATATAAGTAGCAGTGGTTACAAATAGCTGTAAGTACTGTAATATCAATGTATCTTTCCAGACCCCAACAAAAGAAGATGATCTTCCTTCATTTTCTAAATAAAAGTGGCTAGCAGCCATCTTAACCCCCAAAGGAATAGAATATCACCGGATTGAGGCAATCGTAGAAAAGGTCTGTCTCCCAAACCATTCAAACAGAGCAAATCAAAAGCACATCCCTCTAGGCCAGAGGTGTCCAACTCACACCCACCCTGGCCACACCTACTCTGACCCCCCCCCCCCCCCGAGGTCAAACAACCTTATGTAGCCGTCAATGAACCTGAGTTTGACACTCCTGCTCTAGGTATAGCACAGAGGACAGAATATTACATGGTGAAGATGGTTTGTCAAGCTAGCTGTCTCGTGACCCCTTTTTAAGGGTGGGAATGGAATAGTCCCTATTCATAAACACCAGCACTCTGCAGACATAATGCCAAATCAAAGCTGGGCACTTACAAGGAGACCTGTTGCACAGAAATTCTGTCTCATTATGGTCCAGAGCAAATCAATGCTTGCTTGATACATCTGAACCAAGAAGGGATAGTTTAGTCTGGTAACCACAACCCTATGCTTTGCATAAGGATGCACTACTTACGCATTTGAAAGAAAAAGAGACCCAGACATCAGAGAGCTATTGCTAGGTAGGCAAACAGCCTACCCTATCATGAAGCAAGCTACTAAGCAGAATGTGATAGAGAAGAGAAGATATAAATAACAAGTTTATTTAAGCAGCTAGAAATTGTAATTTGATATTTTATATGAGAGCAGCCATTATTTGTACATGCTAAAACTAATATTTGCACCACCACAGTAGTCTTTTTCAGGTGTTCAAAATTCTCATTATGGCAGGAGGAAAGGGGGCCAACTTTGTCATCATTTTTCTTTGCTTAAACTTGTGATGTCCTGGAAGGCCTAAAAGGGGCAATACTGACTCATGCATGATTGGGAACTCTTCAGCACTTCCAGGTGAGTACTGGTTGTCCTTGACTTACAACAGTTCATTTAGTGACCGTATGAAGTTACAACAGCACTGAAAAAAAGTGACTGATAACCATTTCCCACACTTACAGCATCCCCATGGTCATGTGATTTACATTCGGATGCTTGACAACTGCTTCATATTTATGACTGTTGCTGTGTTCCAGGGTCATGGGTTTTGTGACCTTCAGATGAGCAAAGTCAATGGGAAAGCCAGATTCACTTAACAACTGTGCTATTAATTTAACAACCGCAATGACAAATGTGCCAAGAAAAGTCATAAAATGGGGCAAATCTCACTTAACAAATTTCTTACTTAACAACATAAGTGTTGAGCTCAGTTGTGATCGTAACTTGAGGGCTACCTGTAGATGTTCCATTCCAGTCTTCTTGGATCCATTTTGAAAGAAAACTGAAACTGATTGTGCTTTATTTTTGCTTATTTCTAAATGAAGCCTGAAGATTATTATTTCCCTACAGGTAATACAGTAGTGATAAAGAGTGATAGCAAGATAAAGAGTTACCAGCGTTTGGGCAATTTCCAGAAATCTCACCTGCTTCTCTGCATCTGAGATTTTCCCTTTACTTCTATATCTCTAATATCCAAGCTGTTTTGTGGATTTCCAGGTGTTTTAAGGACAAAAGCGTATTTATTTTTATTTACTTTATTTGCTTGTCAAACATCTACAAGATAACAAGTATGAGCATAAACATGAACAAAGGAAGTAAATACAGATAAATGGGGACAGTAAGACAGGGACGGTAGGCACGGTAGGCACAAGTAGGTTAAAGTGGTGTCATATTGCTTATGACACCACTTTAACCTAGACAGAAGTGTGAGCATCTTTCTCTCCTGTCTATTCAGTGCCTTGAAATGGCAACTTTTCATTCAAAGAAGCGACTGAGATACACTGGAATTGTTTGTCAAGGCAGGTCCCCAGTTATGACATCAACCAATCACCAAAGGACTCGGCTTATGGCCCAAGTGGGTCTCTACCTCCCCCTGGAAATGCCCCTTGGTTATCTCTGCACTCCACACGAACATTTTTAGCATCTCTGGAGGGCAACATTTGAAGTAGCTGGCCAACTTTTCAAGTGTGCCTCTGACTCTGATAAGCCCAGAGCAGCATACAGTGGGGGGAAGGAGGGGTGTGCCGCAATAATTTCTTCTCCACAAATAATGCTCAGGGTATTTGTGGAGCTCACGTCTAGGTTCAAAAGCCAATTCTTTGAGTCACACAGCTGTCAGAGATGGGAAGAATTAAGTGTGCGTAAGGTGGAACAATTCTATTAGATGTCATCTGCTATGCTGTGATTTTAATTTCATTCCTCTCAGAAATGAAAACCATTTTCATTTCGCTCTGCCTGCATCGTGCCAACGTTGTCCTGCTCGCATGTCACCGACTGCATCATCGGAGCATGCTGTTCTGCAGTGCTGGAACCACTTGGGAGTGCTGCAAACGGGCTTGTTCGCAATCAAGCCTGCGCGGTGTTGCTGATTGGAGGTAACGTTCGACTTTGAATTTCTTCTCCTGCCATAAACCGAGGCCGAGTGCCTTTTAGCTACCCTACCACTGATTGATGTCTCTGAGATGTATACAGCTTTTTAATATAGAAGCATACCTCTGAGATTAAAATTGGAAATAGGAGAGAGTGGCGAGAGAGGCAGATTCTTCCCGTTATTACTTTCCATCTGTTCGTGGTCTTCTCTTCTCTTTTAGTGTGTTTGCCACTTCTTACCAGAAGGTGGCAGCAGATTGTCAGGCCTATCTACACAG